ACCTACTGGCTGAATTAGGGGTGGAAGAACCAGAGGGTCAGAGTGCCCTCTAGTGGGACATAGGAGAAAATAAGAGAGGGAAATCTAAGAAAAAGAATCCCTTAAATCCAGACAACTCCCAACAAAGCCCACATGGAAACACACCAGCCTGTGTGATCATGAGGTGTCGATGGGATCAGGGATCAGGCATCAAAGACCCAGAACAAAAAATCCTACCAATGTGAATGAGGGGAGTGTGGAGTAGAGACCCAAAGCCCATCTGTAGACAAGGAAGAGAGGAGCCACTCAGAGTGCAGTATAGCACCTATGAAACATACAGCTTTCCTCTAGTTCCTTCGTGCTTCCTCCCCCGCCACCCCACTATCATGACCCCAATTCTGCCTTACAAATCTGACTAGGCGAGAGCATGTACAGATAAGAGCTTAAAACACAGGGAATCCAGGACAGATAAACCCCTCAGGACCAATAACGAGAGAGCAGCGATACCAGGAGGGTAAGGACAAAGTGGGGGGAGAAAGGAGGAACCAATCCCAATGATCGACATATAACCCCCTCCCAGGGGGATGGACAACAGAAAAATGGGTGAAGGAAGACGGCAGTGGGCATAACACATGAAAAAAAAATTATAAATTATCAAGCGTTCATAAGGTAGGGAGGATAGGGAAGGAGGAAAAATGAGCTGATACCAAGGGCTCAAGTGGAAAGAAAATGTTTTGAAAATGATGGTGGCAACATATGTACAAATGTGCTTGACACAATGGACGGATGTATGGATTGTGATAAGAGTTGTACGAGCCCCCAATAAAATGATTTTTTTAAAATCCAGACAACTCTGTGAATGCCAGATTGTTATAATACGCTTTCAAATGTTCCACATTGAACAATGCCCCAAGAAACCCCAAAACAAACAAATTAAAAAATTCTGTAGAACCACAAGAAAAGATGGCTCAACCAGAAGGAATACATGAAAAAGCAAAATTTCTCCTGTGGAAACCAGGGCAATGGAAACAAACAAAACTCTTCTAGAACAGTGTCACAGTAAATAAATGAACGGAGACCAGGAAACAATGAGATAAAAAAAGAGAAATATTAAAAACAATTTAACATACAGAGAGAAATATTGAAAATGAAGGAAATAAAGGAACTAGAAAATGAGAGAAACATTCAACAAACGAATCGAGCAGACAGAAGACAGAAACCATGAACTAGAAGACAGTGATGACCCTAGTAGGTCTCCTGAGAAATGTTAAGAGCAAAGAAAAATGAAGAAAGTCAAACGGAAATCTTAGATTCAATGAAGAAATCCAACACTAGAATTTTCAGGATCCTGGAGTTAACATAATAATAAAGTCACAGAAAAAAATCCCAAGAGCTAAATCATAGAGAAACGTCCCAGATCTCAATAGGAACCATCCCTTCCCACACAAGAAGCGACACAAGCTCAGACAGAAATAACACAAATCGGTGCCCTCCATGACACGCAGTAATGAAACCCTCCAAGTATCAAAGACAGAGAAACAATTCTGAAAGCATCGCTCACAGGTCAATGGCTCAGCGCTACAATGAGCACATACTTCTCTTCAGAAACCCCAGAGGGCAGGCATACATACATCCTGAAGGGAAACATGTACCTACCACCAATTCTTTCTCCTTTGACAATGAGGACCGTAAAATATAGATGAACATGGAGAATAAAGGCTGAGTGAAGTAAGTCAACCACAAAAGGCCAAACACTGATGGTCCTACTTTTATAAAAAGTCAAGAACACTTTTTATAAATACACCCACAAGAGCAATGTTCTACGGTGATTATCAGAGAAGGGCAGGCCAGGGAGGTAGACTCACTTTCTACACTGGAGCTTAGCCAAAAGGCGGAGCAGCAATCAGACTCACTCTCTCAAGAGTTGTTCTTTCCCCAGAGGGGGCTGGGAGTGAGGGGGTGGTGAAGATGGAAAAGTTAATACCAAATATGGGTGAAGTCTTTCCAGCCGGACCCCGGTAAAATGAAGGCATTATGAAATACACACAGAAAAAAGTGTGTGATTACACAGGTAGATATGTATGCATATATCTTACCCATTCTAGTATTCTTTCATCTCTTGAATGATGCATTTAACCCACGTACATGTAAACAGAGATGCAAAACCCAAACTCACTGCCATCAAGTTCATTCCAATTCCTGACACCCCCCTGTGGGTTTCCAAGGCTGTAAATCTTTATGGGAACAGAAAGCCTCGTGTTTCTCCCAAGGAGCAAGCGGTGGCTTTGAATTGCTGAGTTTGGGGTTAACAGTCCAACACATAATCCACTATTCCACCCAGGCTCCTAAGAAAAGTATGGTTGACCCCCCCCCCCAAAAAAAAAAGCCTAACACACACATTTTGCATAGACATATAGTAAACAAACTACTAAATAAAATTGGAAATATTACAACAGACCCAATGGAGACAAAAGAGTAACAGAATACTTTTTTTTTTCCAGAATACTATTTTTAAAACTGTACTGGCTGTACTGCAACAAATTTGAAAAGCTAGATGAAATGAACAAAATTCTTTTTTTTTTTAATAGATATCAAAGTTTATTAGTGGTTACTAGAGTCAGTATGCAGAAAGTGGGGCGTGGGGGGTAGGAGTGATGGAAAAACTACAAGGATCATGGAATGTTAGCCTGCAAACAGATTCTTGTCATTGCTGTCAATAAGGCTTAAACCTGTAAATAACTGAAGAGGCAAAAGTTGTGAGATAGATACACAAGGGGCTTCACAAAGTTTGTGGGAAACTTCCATTACTGTCAGGTTTGTTTAGAGTCATCGCTGGGGCGTTTTCTTGCTGCTGGTTTCTTTGACGGTCTGCTCTTGACCTGCATGACCAGGACCAGGGCCTTCTTGAAAGCTCGCAGGTCATTGGGAAGCATGGCTACGGTGGGTTCTGGCTTATTCTCAATTTCCTTCAGGTCGTAGTCTGGCTGCTTGGCCATCTCAAGAGAGCTTAAGTCAGGGTGGCCCTTGCTTGTGAGCTGAAGATGTTCAGAGTCTCGAGGAGGAGGCACCGCTCTGGGACACCCTCCCACATCTCAACTCGTGAGGGGTGCTGCACGGGGCAGGGAAGTGGGGAGAAGGGCACTTGCACCCCAGGCAGCCTGCTGTGTGCACCAGGGTTGCCCTAAACTGGTCACCGCGCGACCCCCATACCGCATGTCCCCACCCTGCTCAGGCTGCAGGCGCTTCTCTCATGAACAAAATTCTTACACTACCTATCCAAATAACCGACACAGATGCAGAAAAACTGACCAGTAAGCAAAACAGATTGAAAACGTCATTTAAAAACTGCAAAAACTACAGGGAATCCAGGCCAGATAAACCCCTCAGGACCAATAATGAGAGTAGCGATACCAGGAGGGGAAGGGGAAGGTGGGGTAGAAAGGGGGAACTGATCACAAGGATCTACATATAACCCCCTCCCTGGGGGACGGGCAACAGAAAAGTGGGTGAAGGGAGACATCGGACAGTGTAAGACAAGAAAAAAAAATTATAAATTATCAAGGGTTTGGGAGGGAGTGGGGGCGCAGAGGGAGGGGGAAAAATGAGGAGCAGATACCTAGGGCTCATGTAGAAAGAAAATGTTTTAAGAATGATGATGGCGACAAATGTGCTTGACACAATGGATGGATGGATGGATGGATTGTGATGAGTTGTACAAGCCCCCAATAAAATGATTTTAAAAAGAAAAAAAACACTGCAACAACAACAAAAGTTTAGATGACGTCCATGGGGATTTTACCACACATTTGGAAAAGAGTTGACGCCAATTCTACTTAAACTTTTCTAAAACATACAAGAGGAAGAAATACCTCCTACCTGTTCTATATAGCCAATGCTACCTTGTTACTCAACCAAGCAAAGACATCCTCAAAAGAGAAGTTTATAGATTAGGTAATCATTAAGGTTCAAAAGGTGAAACAGATGCATACACATACAAAGAACAGGACCATATAGAGGACCAGGCACTAGACCAGCAGGTAACAGGGAATGCATGTTAGAAGGGTCTTGGGGCTGGATAGAGAATTCATCGATATTGTGCTACTAACTTTTTAATTTTTATATAATTCTTTAAATCATTTTATTGGGGGCTCTTACAAATGACAATCCATCATTCAATTTTACTAATGTGCTCCTAACTTATGCTGCTAGTCTCAATATTTATACTGGGACACCTGGAGCTGACCTGATGAAATATTTTCTTTATAAATTAATTTGGGTGACAAAACTATAATAATTTATGAATTATGAAGGGTTCAGGAGGGAGGGGGAAGGGAGAGGAGGGAGGAAATGAGCAAGCGATATTGAGGGCTAAAGTAGAGGGCAAATGTTGTGAGATTGATGAGGGCAACAGGTGTACATATGTGCTTGACTCAATGGATGTACATATGGACTGTGATAAGAATTGTACAAGCCCTCAATAAAATAAATTTTTTTTAAAGAAAAAAATTAATTTTGGAATTGTATCTTTTTAAGAGTCTTCCAATCTATGGAAAAGTTCTGCCTTAGTCAAGTCTGCATTTATGCCTTCAATAAAATTTTATCATTTTCTCAAAACTAAAAAAAAAAGGACCATATAGAGAAGTATCACTTCTTTTTGAACTAGAAACATCACCTTCACTTCCAGACATAAAATATATACATATGGATGTGTATGCATTTTACCCTTTTATAGGAATTTATTATCTATTCAAAATTTAAATATAAGAAATGCAATAAATACTTAAGTGAAAACAGAGAAATTACACTCTGCTTCCTCAATTTTATTCTTCAAAAATACATACACCTACATACAACACACATACACACTAATACATAAAAATACGTGAAGTTTGTATACAAGTCTTAGCAGTGGTTTTGTGGAAATACTGCAGATAATTCTTTTCTCATAATACGTTCCTCAGCTCTCCAAGTTAAGACATATTATTTTTAAACTCGAGAAAAAGAAAAGGTGTCTCCTTTACCTCAAAATTTGTTCCTGACAAGCTGCAATTCTCTTCATGAACTTGTGAAACATCTTATCTCCACTTTTAATTACGGTCTTCTCATACTTTTCATTACAATCACTAGAAATACTAAGAGAAACAGAAAACCTCTGAGTGTCTTAGTCCAAAGAATTACAATATTATTTAAAAAAAAATAAATTAAATTAAATTTAATTTAAAAAAAAATTACAATATTATTTTTAAAATGATCAAAGAAATGCATGCATATAATTCAAACATCCTAATAAAAGCTTTTAATAGAAACAGCAGTCTCCTACCCTATCCTTCTCCCAAGCCTGCTCCCTACCACTTTTCAGCTCATTGTTCACAATTTAAAAATCATACGCCAAATGTCTCTCTCCCCATTATATGAGGGATTACCCCCCTATGGTGGTTCCATAATCTGGTGTCAATTTGAGACTATTAAGAGTGAAGGGGTAGAGTTTAGCCTGTCAATCAGGTCGCAGCTTGATGACCCCATTTGGAGGCGCTATAAATAGCTCACTGGAGGCCAGACCTAGACTCTCTGCTTGCCTTCCTGCTGATAAGCCACATGCAACTATGCTGATGGCAGCCAAAGCCTTGCAGCTGGAGGAGCCACTGTGGAGACCCACACCCTCACTAAGATGCTTCCACCATCACTGGATCCACAAGATTTTCCACCCACTAGCCTATGATCTTCCAGCATTCCACATTACCGAATGGCTGCGTGAGTCTACTGGTATTGGACATATGGGCTAATATCGGGCTTGTGGATTTGATCTGAACTCGGCTGTTTTCTTGATATACAATTACTCTTTCTTATACATTTGAGTGTCTATGAACTTGTTTCTCTAGTCCACCTGGACTAAAACACATACCCCAAAAAGGGAAAAAGTCCTAGGGGAGCTTTTATAGTATGTATTTTCCCCGCTAGGTGAGTATAGAGCAACTAAAGCAGGCGTCCTCAAAGTACGGCCCCGCGGACCACATTTATCTGGCCTGCCGGGTGTTTTTGCCCCATTTGGTTTTTTTACTTCAAAATAAGGTATGTGCAGTGTGCATAGGAATTTGTTCTTTTTTTTTTTTTTTAAACTATAGTCCGGCCCTCCAATGAGTCTGAGGGACAGTGAACTGGCCGCGTTTAAAAAGTTTGAGGACCCCTAAAAAGCAACTAGCTCTAAGTTAGTGCACCCAGTGGCATCAACTAGGAAAGTTCTCTGGTCATGTTGAATTTTTTCGTAAAAGCGCAGTTTCGCTGGAACCTTGGTTTTTTGTGGTGGATGATTTAAGAGAACAGCATGGGGCTGTGAAATTTTGTTTCCTGCTTGGGAAAGATGCTGCAGAAACTGTTGCGATGTTGAACACAGCTTACCAAAACAGAGCTATAAGAAAAACTCAAGTGTGCAAGTGGTTTTTTTTGTTTCAAAAAAGGTGACATGTTGGCTGATGACAAATCTCGTTCTGCCCAAGTCACCTTGCAACCTCAGTGGTGTGTTCTCACCTTTGGGAAAGCAACTGTCCCATGGTAACTCCCTCTCTCTGTTGATACTCCCTCAGAAGGCTGTGGGCATGGTCTAGATTGACAAAGTCCCCGTAGTCATCCTCGTCCACGACACAGATGTAGTAGGGCAGGAACAGTGGAAGCAGAGACAAGGGCGGCTCTTCCTTGGGAGGTGCGGGCTGGGCAGCATCCTGCAGGCTGAGTTTGTGTAGCTGGGCTGACCAGTCTGTGTGCTGTGAGGCACTGTTAGAATTCTTTCCAAAATCCAGCGTGACCTGTGGTGGAGGAGCCTCCTCACTGTCGCTTCCCCAGTCATCTGCACCTTCACACCAGTCCTTGGTTACAAGGCTGCTTTCCTGCTTCTGCGAGAAGATCCAACGAGCAAGGTCTAAGCACACTGGAATCATGTCATTTATTCCCTTGACTTCAGCCACCCATCCCTTCGCCTTTCCTAAGAGAGCCTGCACACCATTTTATGGCACACCTTCCTGGACCCCATCCCATCTCTTCAAAAACATGTCACAAGTGACATAAACAAGTGTCTTCTTTCGCAGGGCAAGGTGACAGATACAGTGCTCTATTTTTTTCAACCATCTATTCCAAACTCCTGCTGTATTTTTCATATAATGCAGAGACTAGAAGGAAAGAACTACATTTTCCTTTCTTTTTTTCCCGTGACACTGTCATAGCTAAAGTTAGAGCTATGAGCAGGAGCATGCCATATGGGTCCACTCCTGACCCCCAAGAAACCAACAACAAACTCACTGTCACTGAGTTGATGCCTACTCATAGAGAGCCTATAGAGCAGGGTGGAAGCGCTCCTGTGAGTTTTCTGAGATTATCCTTTTTTACAGATTAGAAAACCCTGTCTTTCTCCCATGGAGCAGCTGGTGATGAACTGCCGACCTTGTGGTTACCAGCCCAGTGTATAACCACTGTGTCCCTCGGGCTTCAATGAGTCTACTAGAGACTTAGACTTAGGATACAGTGAAATGGGGGGGACAGGCCAAGACGCATAGGACGGTCAGTTTGTAAGTACAGCTAGAGCAAACTGTCCTTCAAAGGAAGCTTGCAGTTCACCACACCACAACCTAACTAGCCAGTTCTGAAGGCCACACCTGGAGTCAGGTCCTCCAATAAGTTGGTGAAAAAACATAAACTCTTTTTTTTTTTTTTTAACATAAACTCTTTATAGTAAATCTCTCCCAGCTTTTAAGAGAGGCAAAGTATTCTTATATTACCTACGATCTAATCCTGACAAATATAAGAAGCCTTCAGATAATGGGATTTTCCCACAAACTTTTTGAAAGTCACACCCAAAGACAGACACCATCTTCATCTCTCTATTCTTAGTATTGCTACCTTGAGGCTTTCTGCTCCTGTAAAAATTTATAGTCTCGAGGGTGGGGTGAAAGGGGGAAACCTATTATAAGGATCTCCATGTGGCCTCCTCCCTGGGGGACAGACAAAGGAAAAGTAGGTGAGTGGAGGCGTCAGAATGTGTAAGATATGACAAAATAATAATTTATAAATTATCAAGGGTTCATGAGGGAAGTGGGAGCGGGCAGGGAGGAGGGGGGAAATGAGGAGCTGATGCCAAGGGCTTAAGTGGAGAGCAAATGTTTTGAGAGTGATGAGGCAACAGATGTACAAATGTGCTTCACACAATTGATGTACGTATGGATTGCGATAAGAGTTGTATGAGCCCCTAATAAAACGATTTAAAAAAAAGTTGTATGAGCCCCCAATAAAATTTTTGTTTAAAGCGATTTATAGTATGAGAAACCCTGAGGGGTTTTTCCCATACTGACCTCTCAGATCATAATTATTTGGAATCGACTTGACAGCAACGGATTTGAAGATAAATATGCATTTACTTGAAAACAAAGGGTGAACTGCTGCTAACTTACCTGACTTTTCAATTTCATTGTGTAGCTATCATATAACTACATACGAGTACTTTTTGTCAAAGAGAAAAACCGGTCAAGTAATAACATTACCGTGTAAATTATAAACAGCAATTCACAAAACCTTTCTAAAAGAGCACTTTATGACTCAGGGATGAGTAAAATTCATTCTATTGTACTTCACAGATCACGGCTTAAAAAACGTCTGTCGGGAGAGTGGGTAGGAAAGAGGGAACCGATTACAAGGAACTATATGCGACCTCCTCCCTGGGGGGCGGCCAACAGAAAAGTGGGTGAAGGGAGACGTCGGACAGGGCAAGATATGACAAAATAACAATTTATAAACTATCAAGGGCTCATGAGGGAGGGAGGAGCGGGGAGGGAGGGGGAAAATGAGGACCTAATGCCGGGGGCTTGAGTGGAGAGGAAACGTTTTGAGAATGATGAGGGCAATGAATGTACAAATGCGCTTTACACAATTGATGTGTGTATGGACTGTGATAAGAGTTGTATGAGCCCCTAATAAAATGATTTAATGTGATAAGAGTTGTATGAGCCCCTAATAAAATGATTTAAATAAATAAATAAATAAAGACCTGTCTTCAACGCTATCCCAGAAAACACCCTAAAACTGCAGCAGCAAAGCTCATCCCAACCGCTTTACCTGTGCGTCCTGCGCCTCTTTCTCTTGGGTCTGCAGGCACTGGGAGCGGAACGCCTTCCAGCTTCAGGGGAACAACAGGTCGCGGTGAGCGCTCCCCCGCCCCGCCCCTGCAGGAGGAGCCCTCCACCCCTCTCGCCCCCCGCACCCCTGCCCGCTCACAACCACCCCCAGCTAGCGCACTTCTCTGGGGAGCCGCGGAGCGCCTCCTGGGCGCCAGGTCTACCTGCCGCCGCGGTCACAGGTGGGGCGGGCGCAGGAAAACACGTGTAGCAGCCGATGGAACGGGGAGCCTTCGAGCGGGCAGTACACTTGCACCGCGAGGGCCAGCGGCTGCCCGCAGTGTGCGCACACGGGCCGCGGAGCTGCGACGGCCGGCAGCGCGTCCTGCGGACAGGGGCAGCTCTCAGACCCGCTCCCGGGCCTGCGCCCCCCCCCTCCGCCCCGGCCCCGCCAACCCGGCCCCGCTCTCACCGGGACACCGCCCAGCTTGCTGCTGGTCCAGGCACTCGGGCCCGTGGGGCAGCCGGGCACAGGCGAGTCCCGGAGACCCAGCAGGACGGGCTTGCGTAAAGACGCCATGACAGCGCGGGAGCCACGTGCAAAGGCGAACTACGGAAGCGGAGGCGTGTTTGCGCGAGTCTCTCCCCGCCCACCCCCACCAACTCCCTCTCTGCGCATGCGCACTTCCCGCCCCTACGGCTGCTGGTCCCCGCCCCATGCCAACTCCCTCTCTGCGCATGCGCACTTCCCGCCCCTACGGCTGCTGGTCCCCGCCCCTCGCCAACTCTGTCTCTGCGCGTGCGCACTTCCAGCACCTACCGCTGCTGCGCTGTGCTTGTGGCACTTGGGCTCTTGTCAGGGAGTTTCCTTTTTTTTTTTAATTAAATCATTTTATTGGGGGCTTCTGCAACTCTTATCACAATCCATACATGCACCCATTGTGTCGAGCATATTTGTACATATGTTGCCATCATCATTTTCTTTTTTTTTTTATATCATTTTATTAGGGGCTCATACTCCATTATCATTTTCAAAGCACTTTCTTTCTACTTGAGCCCTTGATATCAGCTCCTCATTTTTCCCCTCCCTCCCTCATGCACCCTTGGCACATTATTTTATTTTTACATCTTACATCATTCGCTGTCTCCCTTCACCCACTTGTCTTTTGTTCCTCCCTCTGAGGGCGGATATATGTCAGTTCCCTCTTTCTCCCCCACCTTACCCTTACCTTCCTGGTATCTCTATCCTCAGTATTGGTCCTGAGGGCTTTACCTGTTCCGGATTCCTGTGTTTCGGGCTCTTATCTGTACCAGTGTACATGCTCTGGTCTAGCCAGATTTGTAAGGTAGAATTGGGTGTATGATAGTGGGCGGGAGGAAGCATTAGAGTACTAGAGACAGTGGTTCTCAACCTTCCTAATGCCTCAACCCTTTAATACAGTTCCTCATGTGGTGGTGGCCTCCCCCCAACCATAAAATTATTTTTGTTGCTACTTCATAGCTGTAATTTTGCTACTGTTATGACTTGGGCAACCCCTGTGAAAAGCTCGTTGGACCCCCAAAGGGATCAAGGGGTCAGGACCCACAAGTTGAGAACCACTGTACTAGAGGACCGCTGTATGTTTCATCGGTGCTATACTGCACCCCGACTGGCTAGTCTCTTCCTCGTGACCTTTCTTTTTTTTTTTCTTTTTTAACATTTTATTAGGGGCTCATACAACTGTTATCCCAATCCATACACACATCAATTATGTAAAGCGCATTTGTACATCGTTTCTCAAAACATTTTCTCTCCATTTAAACTCCCGACATTAGGTCCTCATCCTCGTGACCTTTCTGTAAGGGGATGTCCAATTGCCTACACGTGGGCTTTGAATCTCCATTTTGCACTCCCCCTCACTCACATTCATAAGATTTTTTTGTTCTGGGTCAACTTCCCATCTTAAGCAATTGCCCAAGGCTGAAGAAAAACAAAGCAAACACACTGTCAATGCTCACTCATAACGACTCCCTGTGGGTTGCTGAGACTAATGTTTATAGAAATAGAAAGCCTTAAAATCTCTAGAAATTATGTGCCTCTTAATGCCCTGGTATTCTCAATTGCATCATATGCGTGTGAAAGCAAAACCAAGGAAGACCAGAAAATGAATGCATTCGAATTATGAATGAAAAACATTGACTCTGGACTAACAGAAGACCAAACAGATCGGTCTTGGAAGAAGTACAGTCAGATGCCCCTTCGAAGCTAGGATGGCGAAACTTAGTCTCACATATTGGACATGTCAACAGGAGAAATCAGTCCCTGGGGAAGGACATCATGCTTGGTAGAGAGACGGCCCAAAAGAGGAAGACCTTCACCGAGATTGGCTGACCCAGCTGACTGAAACAATGTCCTCAGACGTAACCATTGTGACGATGACTCAGGACCAGGCAGTGTTTTGTTCTGTTGTCCTGGAGGTCACTGTGAGTCAGAACCATCGAGATGGCGCCTAGCAACAATAATATGGGGAGGGCGATGGTAGAATTCTCTCTCTCCCTATAAGACCCATGGTGGCGAAAGGGTTACTTCGGACTGCTAACTTTGAGATCAACAGTTTGAAACCACCAGAGTCCCTGCAGGAGAAAAACAACTTTCTATTCCCATAAAGACGTACCGTCTAGGAAACCTATGGGGATCAGTTCGGTTGAAGGACCATGAGTCAAAATCAACTCTATGGCAGTGAGCATAATGGAGACCCAGTTGGATTATGGTCCATACACTTCAAGCCCAGCCACAAACCCATTTGTCAGTGAAGGCTTCTTTGTTACTATCATGCTGACAAAGATTCATCAGAGGTTCCATACTATGAGGGAGTCGGAAGAAAGACATGGCGTTCTTCCACAAGTCCGCCAATGAAAACCCTGTGGATTAAAATAGTCCAGCCCCATATGTGGGGTCATCATGAGTAAGGACTATAGGGCAGCTAAAATCATTATGTAATGAGGATACTCCACCGACTCTGGAGTAATCTTTCTAGAAGTCTTTTACCTGAAGATAAAACTTGGGTACCATTAAGGTAGTGGCGTTCTGTGCTTGTTTGGGAGCTATGCGCCAAAATGCTTAGGAACAAGCAAACACCTCAGAGGACATGGTTCCTTGATTTGGAAGCAGAGGCTCAGATTTCATGGGAAATGCAAATTGCCTTACCTAATAACATGTGTACTGCTTCGGTTCTGCCTCCTAATTTATTGTACGGTGCCTGACATCCGAAGAGCTCTCAAGCAGCCAGCTGAAGCACGATTGGTCTCTATTCTGCTGAGCAATAGGAGAGGGAGAGCCATGGGTAAAGGAGTATGAAATGTGGGGCTAATTCCCTCCTGTGATAGTTGGGTTCATTGTGCCAATGAAGCCCATGGGAACATGTGGGCAGAGTTCGGGCAGGTGGATGCCTGATTGGAGGACCACCGAAAGCCAGAATCCCATCTCCCTCTTGCTTCCCGGTGATCAGACCACTGAGCTGCTGCTTTAGGCAGTCCTCTGCCTTAACTGAGAAAACAAGCCCATTTGGCAGCTGGAGTGGGGTGCTGCTCTAACAAATACTTAAAATGTGGGAGTAGTTTTAGAATTAGGTAAGGAGCGATGCTGGAAGAGTATGACGCTGACTAATATGGAAAGTCTAGGTTGCAGCAACTGTGGGTGGAATTCTAGACATCAAAGGACGTTCTGGGGAGGGCTCAGAAGGAAGCGGAGAGAACAGTAACACTGGATGCAGAAGGTGTGAAAGACGCAGAAAGGGCGGCAGTAGAACAAGGAGATGGGGAAGACAGCGTGGGAGCTGCCCCGTGGAGGAAGGGACCAGAGTGCCTCTGGACAGAAGGCTGTCTGCAGGAGTGGAAGTGTCTTTGGGCACTAACGCTGAAACCGGAGAGCTTTGTAACATTTCTCAAACAGAGGACAAGCCAAGCTATGTGGTGTGAGGGGCCAGAACCCAAGGAACTAGGAACCAGAAGCTGAGGAGACGAGGAACATGAGAAGCAGTTCTGTCTTGGTCTCAACTCACAGGGCCATGATTTCTAGTCTTCAAGAACCAAAGCAAACTCACTGTTAAAGGAGTCAATGCTGACTCGTAGAGAAATCCCTGTGGGTTCTTAAGACGGCAACTATGTACAGGAGTAGAGAGCCCAGTCTTTCTCCTTCAGAGCTGCTGGTGGTTTTGAACTGTCAACCATGCAGATCACAGCCCAATGGCTAACCACTACACCACTAGGAGGTCACAGCTTACTATTAAATTCGCTGCAAAGATGAACAGAAGCCAAGCCAGAGAGAAGAAAAAGGGGAAGTTTATTCTGCGCTTCCCAGGAGGGATTCCCGGACTCCAGCAGGGAGTCAGAGAATCGGCTGTCCAGGAGGGAGAGGAGAGATGGGAGAGGGCGAGAAAGAGACAGGAGCCCTGAACTCCCGGGCTAATTCCACATGCCCCCATTGGGGGGACCTGAGAAGTCTCGCTGATCTGTGGTGGAGAGCGAGGTTAAAACAATCAAGAGAGTGGGTAGAAACTGCAGGTGGGCAAATTAGGAGGAAGGGGAGAGGATTCTCAGTTTGGGGAGCTTTAAGTGGGTCTCCATCCATAAAAATTCCAAGGCAGGGTGGTGCTTTGATGGTCCGTTTGGCCACCCTGGTCTGATGGAGGCAGGCAGGCTATTCCTCCTCCAACCGGCGCCTGACCCAACATTCCATTCCAACCTTTTTGATGACGTATGGGGCAATGTTAGTCTCTAACTGTTCCCTGCTGTTCCGGGCAGCAAAAGATTCAAGGCCAGCGTGCGCTGTGGTTATGTCCCTTATCCCATTCTGGAGAAAGGTTTAAAACGGGGGGTTATTAGTAACAAGCACATCACCGCAAGGGGCTCAATTAAAGGAAGGACCCAGGTTAAGAGGAGGGTTTGGAATTAAGAGAGTAGCGAGGCATTGTCTCCCAGGAGGTTTATAAGATCTTCAGCCCATTTGGTGAGGGTCTCTATGCTTTGCTCTGCTAGCCCTGGTTCATTCACATAATAACAGCACTCTTGAGCTGTCCCTGCAGGGAGGCTAGAGAGACTGGTATGGATTAGGAAGGCTGCCTTTCTCCACCTTTAGGTGGGAAGTAACCACACTAATGCAGACTGATCATATAGGATGAGCGAGGAATTACATACAATAACTGGAAAACTAGGTCCTGCTGTGGAAACATTTACACATTTAGGTAAAGTTCCATTGCACCAAAAGAATTGTCTGGGGTTGGAGAAAATCGGAGTATTGACCGTTATATTGTGCATGCAAACTCCATGCAGAGAAAATCCATTAACATTTTGATTCCTGAAGCAACAGATTAGCTGTGGCTGGACATTGGGCAGTGACAAGAGGATGGGAGAGGGATGAGGCTGGTTTGAATTAGTTAGGCTGCGGGATGCCTGGTCGACTCTGCCGCTTCCCCGTGTGACGAGGGGCGGGAGGGGTGGGGGGACCATCAGTTTGATGTCCTTCACATTCCCACACTGGAATCCCTCTCTTACACATTCACTTCTCCTTTCTCATCAACTTCTCAGCAAACAGCTTTCCGT